CCCATACCGCTAAAGAAGTTTGAAACGAAATTGATGGCTGAGGGTTTTTCTCACTTAGAAAAATGTCTCACTATTTTTGAGAATCAGGACCCCAATGCTGAGAGATTCTCAAAAGTAGAAACAAGCATCAATGATGCAATGCAATGTTATCATATAATCTACAATAAAAAGAAGAGAAAATTAGTGCAAACTTTATTAGACAAATTCTTCAGACCAGTGCCTTCAACTTCAAGAGCCTCCCCTCCTCCATTGCTTGTTGCATCTTCCTCCTCAGATGAAGAAGAAACCCTGCCCGAAGAAACCCTTGGCGAAGAAAACTCCACACCCTCTCTCCTCCTCCTCTCATCCATCACCTCAAGTCTACTTTACCAGTTTCAAAGGTAAGAAAATCAACATTAAAGTATTATTATTCTTTTTTTCGTTTTATGTATAATTAGTAAGAAAGCATATATTGACTTTATATCATACTTACTTATGCATGTAGATTTGAGTATCCTTAAAATGATGTTGAATAACAATTTACGAATATTTCAAGTTACCGATGGCCATTCGGAACGTAACTCATTCGTAAGTAGAGGAGCGTCTGTACTTCTATACACTTCTACTTTTCCTGTAACTTTTAGACAAAGGTACTTTTAGATTCCTGTACAGAGATTTTTCATTTTACTTTATTAGAATGTTTAACAGAGTGCTGTAATTTGTTAGCTTACACTTCATTCCTATTTTTATACTTATACTGTATTGTTCTTGTATTCATGTCTATGTGCAGTTGGAATGTGAGCAATTTCCATCTATCCAGGATTAATAAAGTCTTCTGATTCTGATTATCGAATCTTTGAAGTCTCTAATGCTCTGAATGCTCTGATAAGAAGGAATCGTTAATCAATTAAAAAGTAACAGAGGCAGCAATAAATCTGTTAGAAAGGGGAAAGCAGAGGTAGAACTCTTCCAAGACATGAAAGAAAAAGAGTAAGAGCAAGATCACAGCTGAAATAAACAAAAAGTGTACAAAAAGGGAGGATTCCCTCCTGACGGTGAGCATTCAGCTCCGTTGTCTGAAGTATCTGTGTGTCTTTGGCCAAGAATAAAGGAACAAAGAACGTAACCTTGCCTTGTTTGTACTCTATTTTCTACAACAGATAGCAAAGAACAGCTGTGGCTGGAAGGGTTGTGGTGTAAAAACTAGATCTCAACAGATTAACAATAAACAAGTATCAAACAACAAGCAGAGGAATTTTTTCAGTGCTTTCAGTGGAACCAGTCCCTTTACACAAAGGGAATCACATCTAAGATTTCCTTCAGAGTGACTCGATCATTCCATTGCAAATTATGGCAGGTTATATACACTTACCTAAAGGATTATTAGGAACACCTGTTCAATTTCTCATTAATGCAATTATCTAATCAACCAATCACATGGCAGTTGCTTC